CTCTGCCTCGCCTCTCACTTTGATCAGTGAAAATAAAAGCTTTCCCTGTTAATCCGACTCTGTGACCTGAAAGATGATTTTAAAAACTTAAATGGAAACCTGTCACTGAGCAGCTATTCAGCCTCGTTGTTTTGGTCGCCTCCGTCCTGTTTGCTCCAATCAGAACCGAGATGTTTAAAACTCGATCGGCCAGCCGAGAGTTTAGGGAACCTGAAGTTCACAGGATGGGATAAAACTGAAGCGTGAAGTCAAAGAAACCCTCGTAGAGGTCGGCGGGTGATGGACAGTTTCACCAACAACAACACGAGTCTCTAACACTGCCCCCTGGTGACAAAGCACAGCTATCACAGAAACTCACGGATCTGAAGTGACGTTCATACGACCTGCACACGACCAACACTCAACCTCACCCTAACCCTTTTTATTTGTGCTCCGTGATGCTATCGTGGAGCTGAGTTACCATCCATCCATCTTCTTGTCCTTTTCTGGTTCAGGGGAGCAGCAGCCTAGCCAGAGAAGCCCAGACCTCCCTCTGTGAGCCACCTCCTCCAGCTCACCCGGGGGAACAGCGAGGCGTTCCCAGGTCAGCCAAGAGATGCAATCTCTCCAGAGTGCCCTGCGTCTGCCGCAGGGCTTCCTCCCACTAGGACACAAACACCTCGCAGTGGAGGCGTCCAAATTGGATGAACCGCCTCAGCCGGCTGCTCCACTCTGATTCCCTCCTCACCACATCAGTAATGACGAGGCCAAACACCATCTGGAGAAAACTCATTTCCACCGCTTGTTTCTACGATCTCATAATCTCATCTGCAAATTTCATAAAAGAGGAGGATGAAAACTAAAGTCAGAGAGGTCCTTACAGCTGACAGGCTCGGACCTGACCGAGGCAACGTCTTAAACATCTGTGGAGAAAACATCTGTCGTCCCTCCACCCTGCTGGAACTGAGGGGATCTGCACCAAATCCAACAAAGCGTGAAGAGAAGGCAGGAAGCTGCTGCGACTCGTTGAATCAACACTCTGAACACTTTCTGTAAAAAGATTGCTTTGATCTGACGTTTTATCGTCATGACGACCCTTCAGTCAACAATCACGTTGTTTTAAAATGACGCCTACAAAACCACAAGAGCAGAAAGTGAAGATCTGAGTTCATCATAAACATGCTGCTGCCTTTAAATCTGTACCGACACATGTATGTGACCTCTGACCTTTAACATGTGACACACAGACTCCTCACTCTGCAGGATAAACACACACAACCAGGGGCTGTCCTCCAGACTGAAATAACACACTGAGGGATTATTACACACACACACACACACACACAGGTCTTTACAGGACATCACAGTGTGTGTTTCTATGCTTGTGAGGACCTTCAGGCTCTTTCTTAAAGGGTGAGTCTGCCTATTTTTATAAATGTGAGCCATCAGTCTGATTCTGACGGCTGCTGTATTTATTTCACCATCCATGCTGAAAGCTTCCTGTTAATGAAAGTTTCCTGCTGGAGCCGCTGATAACGGCACAGAGAAGAAAAGATTGTGACAGCTGCTCCAGCTGCAGAAAGTGAAAGTAAACTCAAAGTGTCCCTCGACCATCAGGAGGAGGAGAAGCAGTGAGGGTGACTTCTGCCGCAGAGCGGCGAGCCCGACAAAGTCCAAGTACGGCGTGGATCTACACGACATGCTGCATGCTCATTGGCTAATGACTCAATCATCTCCTGCTTCCTGTTTCTTTGTCGCTATCCGGTCGTTAAGTCTGACGTCACTAGCCGTGTCTGGGCCTAAACTCCGCTGCAGGTCCATATATCAAA